GCCACGATCAGCAAAAGTACCGAGATTGTTTTAATCATGTTGAATGTCAACTTTGTACTAATAAATATAATATTATTGCCTATGCGTTTATATACCTTTTTGATCATGATAAAACTATTTTTACACATTGTTGTTTTTATGGTTTATAGTATTTGTTATTAATTTAATAATGTGCTTGAAACTGATAACTAGATAACAATTTAATTAAATGTCATCTAGTTATTAATTGTTTATTATATTACAACATAATCGGGGGTTTAGACAATTCGTACGTCACGCGCACAACACAATACCCGTCTATCGCCAACTGTCTGTTGATCCGCGGCACACAATATACAGTACTTACCACTACCTATGGGTCGTGGGCTCCATGGGTTCCGTGGGTACCGTACGGAACGGTACTTATACTGTACCGTACAAACACTTAGTATAGTTATTAATAATAATTAATACACAATTAAGGAATAAAACTGTTTATTAAAATAAGTATAAAAAGTCTGGTCTTAATAGAGGCTCTTAACGCAGAGTTGCATAACTAATGCTAACCTAATGCAGACTCAGTCCTACTCTGACTGAGGTCTGGGGACTACTGATTACTGTGCTGTGCGGGGCTTATGGTTATATAGTCTGCAGTGCAGACCAGATGTTACTCAACTAATGGTATGCATTGCGAAGCAATGCATGAAAAGGGATACGAGTGGGGGAAATACAAATACCAATGCGCGCAGTATTACATAATACTGCAATATTTATAGTGCGGTTTAAAGTCTATTGTTTGACGTCCATACAATTAACTTTGAAATGTACCTGTGGCTATTGTTAAATAAGTTTTCAAGTGTTAATTATTAAGTAATGATAATATCATGTTTGTATGGAAAACTATCAAGGTTATTAATTAAGTATTGATTTATTTTAAAAGTAGTCACATAATTAAAACAAAATTATTATTTATTTTATTATTTATTAATAATGTAAATCATATAATGTTTTATAATATTCATTAAAAATTAAAATACCTTGCTATTTATTTAAAGTGTGTCTAACCTATAAATTAAATAACATTTATTACTCAATAATTATATTTCAAATTTATTTTTAAAAATAACAGAATTTGCAATAAAATTTAATCACATGAACAATGTCAATTGTGAAACAAGATAAATACACAATTAATTTAATAAATTATTTACATTATCAATCTATGGCATACAAACAAATAGTAGACCTTAGAATTCACATAAATTTCGTATATATAAACTTATAAATTAATGATAAAAAGCCGATATCTACTGTAGATATCTTGTTTTTACAACTTTTTTGAAGTTTATATATACGAAATTAGTGTGAATTATAAAGTCTACTGTTTGTTTGATGGCATAGATACTATGCAATAAATATAGATGGAATTGTATTTTCAAAATTTTCATGTAAAAAACTCTTACAAACAGTATTCAAAACTCGATCAAAGCAACGCCAGCCTTGTTAATGTTGCGCCCGCTAACCAACGCCACAATCAGCAAAAGTACCGAGAGTATCTTGATCATGTTGAATTTAATAATTTTGTACTACTAATTAATATATTTATGTCGGCTCGTTTATATACACTAAAGATCGTGATAAAACTATTTTAAAACAATGAAGTGGTTCAAATTTATAAACAGATAAAACCTAATTATCAATTGTTTATTATATTTATAGTAAGGTTAAAGTATATTGTCTGACGTCCCATACAATTAACATTGTTATGTAGAAACCTGCAGCAAGTTCATTATGGTTAAATGTTTTTTAGTGTAAATTATAAAGTAAAAATACAAATAATAATACTGTGTTATTATGTTTGTGTGGAGAAATACCAATATCATTAATTAAAGATTAATGGCTTTTTAATAGTAGCAAAATAATTTAAATAATATTAATATTTATTTACTATCAGATTTAATGATTGCTATCAAGAGAAAATTGCATCAATGTTGTTATTATAATTATTTGGATAGCGATTAGAATTTAAACTCAAGATTATAAATGTTTTGTTATGATTGCATAAAACTGGTGTCAAGATGTTAATTTAACTAACTTTATTCTTGTTAAACACTGACAAAGTATAATCTATTCCAAAATGATTTATAGTTATATAATATATGATTTAAGAAATGCATTTAATTTATAAAATAAATGTTTAAAATTATAATAACCATTATGAAATAATTACTATTTTAATATTGTTATAAATTATTGTCCAACATTATTTTTTAAATGTTTAAATAATTAATTATGAATAAGTAATTAATAATGATTAATTCGTATTTATAAATTTAATTCAAACATTATTAAGCAAAAATATAATTATAATTACAAATATAAAGTGATATAATATCACTGAAATAATAATTATCAAATGTTAATATTATATTAACAATATCATAGTTATATCAGGTAGTGTGTATTAGTATTTTACCCCCAAAGTGCATGTACTCATGCATTAATCATTTGATGGGGTCTCAAATAGCTCCCTCTCGAGCCGCCGTCTGGTGACGAGACCGGCCATTATTTGTTTGTTATCGGGAGGACCCGCGTATACATATTTGTCGAACTTTTTAGCGGCGCCAGCAAAGTCCCCTGCCCACATGAGCTTTAATAGGTCAGATCCCTTAAGAGTATTGCAGCCCAAGTTGAATGTAAATGATACCAGCTACCCATTATATGAAATAATATGCAATATACAATTAAAATTCATATAAACTCTCTCTCTCTCTCTCTCTCTCTCTCTCTCTCATTATAAACAAAGTGGACTATTAAAAATTAAATAGGTATGATAAAAACACTTACGGCACCCTTTTGATTACTGTTGGTACCGGGTGGCACTAGACGAGAAACACATTCCTCAAACCGAACCAGATCCTTTCGCAACATTTGTTCACAACGCTCAGGGCTAACGACCTCTAATAGCTTAATACCCTCGTAGTCCTTATCTAGCATATGTCCGACACATACAGTAGGTTTACCCTTAAATTTATCTCCTGGTTTTATTACGTTACCCTGGAATTATAATAATACACAAATTAGCAATAATAAATTATAATTTAATTATAAATATAATTCAACAATAAATTATAAATATAAAAATTTTATTATCATCGCGAATAACATACAGTTAAGTCATCATAGATTTGATACTTGCATCCCTCTGCTTTCTTGATCAATTTGATCGTAGCTTGGTTGGCTTTGTAGCTATCTTGGTTGATATTGAAGTTGGTCACCGGTGATTTGGTAGCAACATTTAAAACATTTTGGGTACGGTACGTAACAGTTGAATGTGTGTTCATGTTCAAATTTTTGCCATATATGTCAGAATAACAGGGATTAGCCGTAGTTTGTTTCCACACGCTGTTATTGGCCAATGCGTAAGCATTATTGTTAAACGATGGCTGTTTGTCCATAGTAAACTTATGCTCCAGTAAATTAGTATTATAAACGTTTGCTAAGGTATTGCACATTTTATCACCATAGCAAAACTTATTATCAGGGTTAGCGAACGTGACCTTTTTACATACAATTGGTTCAGTTGGCAATTTTGGCGTGTTACACACGACGTAATCAGACTTGTTAGTATTACAAGTATTGTATGCTGGTTGCTTGCACATGTTCAATGGATCGGACCGCCTGGTAACATTGTCGCCTCTAAACCCTGATGCAAAACCTGTTGGTTTGCACATGTTAAAATCGCGACCAAACATTTTAAAATTACGTTATTTACTATAAATAACTGGCAAATTACAATGTTACAATAAACAATAGTACTCTTATGGTCTCAAACCTAATGATTTAACTGTTTGTTTGTGAATAGAGTCTACACTATACAATAAATACCCATCAATGGTCTCATTTTATAACATGTAGATTACAGCAAAAAATTGTTTTCAATTATTTGTTTATTTAGTGCATTTCATTAAATAGATATTTTTGTTTTTAATGTAATTTGCAAATTGATAAGGTTTATATTATTTCAATGAATAGCTAAATATAATTATCTAATGAAATGCACTATATAAACATATAATTGAAAACAATTTTTTGCTGTAATCTACATACTAAATAGATGACTAATTTAATATGCTGATATATAGTGTGACCAACCGTACACTATTAGACAGTACATTACACTATTTGAGACATTTGTACACTATTTTCAGACTGTACACTATTGTACACTATTTGTAAATTATTTTTATAAAAATATAAAAACTGTAAAAATGGGTTTATTTTTACAAAACCTATCGAGAGTATTTTTATAAATAAAAGTTTGTCAAAGAAATGCCGTTACATAGAACATATATAAAATATAAACAGTTTATACTGTAATACCACTTTTTTGTATTATTCAAACATTATTTATTTCAAATAACAATAAGACTCGTCGGTATTAATCACAACATTTATGCCGGATAACAATAACACTCGTTAAAATTGAGTTTCCTTTTTTTATTAAAAATACAATTAAAAAATTTGTGTACACTATTTGTACACTATTTTAGCCTCAATTTTATCAGTTTGTACACTATTGGTCAAAACCGAGTTGGTCACACTACTGATATATAAAAACGATAAATTAATCAATAAATGACAAAAAAAATCACTATTCATTGAAAGCTAAACACATATAAAATAATAGTGATAGTTATTAATAATAACTTATTATTGTCCTTTGAACGAATGAACATCCTTGACAATTTGCACCTTTTTTGCACTTCTTTGTTAGCCTTAATACTATATAAATAAAACATTTATTAAATATTTAGTGTATAGGGTTTGCAATAAACAAATCTGTTTTACATTGTTTTTATCAACTTAATGCCAGATGATTTGCAAATTTGCCAGATGATTTGTTGTTTGTACCATGTTCAAAATCAAACGCTGAAGGGAAAGTTTTGCATATCTAATTGCTTACACCTTTTTTGTACCATTGAGCACTTATAGTCAAGTATTATCCATCTATTTAATAAATATTGATGGAATTGTATTTTCTAAAAGTGTAAAAAAACTCTTACAAACAATATACTGTACATATTATTTTACAATATCTTATAATAATTTATACTTTAAACATTGCAATCGTAGTTAAAATTTATGGGTTTATTAATGTAAAAAACACTTTAAAAATATAATTTAAACATAATTTTAAGAATACAAATTAGATTTAGTCACATGATACAATTTATTAAAACGAATTTATTTAATTATTACATTTTAACATTTAAAAAATATCTACACATTTTGTATGAGTTTTTACTTTTAAAGAAAGAGCGCCCTCTGGCGGGCCCGACGGGTGACTAAACCGGGCAACTTGTGTCCGCCCGCGTACACTCATTTGCCGAACTCAATAGCGGCGGCCGAATAGTTCTTAGCCTTCACGCGCTTTAATAGTGTAGACGACTGGAGGTTACCGCAGCCCAAGTTGAATGTGAACGATACCAACTGCATCCGTAGAGTATGTTTTATTTGAGCATGATTAAATCAAAAATAAAATACAAATTATAATTATATAGTAAAATCTTTATTTAATAATATTTAATTAAAACTGTATTAGGCTCTTAATTTATAAAGCACTTTATAATGCTTTATTCATAATGTTTTAATAAATATTTTAACTGGTAATGTTTTTTGAAAATAAATAATATAAAACACTTACGGCAGCAAATTGGTTATCATTAACAAATGGCACGCGGCTTTGCACACAGTTTTGAAACTGCACTAGGTCCTTATGTAATAGTGTCTTACCCTGTGCCTTGGAGATTGGCGCGTGAATGCTGGAGCAGCCCTGGGCTTTGCAGTTGTGTCCGTAGTACGGACAAGACTCCGTACCCTATCGTACGTATACCCTATTAAATGCTATAAGAATTATAATTTCTTGTAATTGGTATTAAATAGTTTTAGCTAATGTAAAACATTGGTTAATTACATTAAATAAACACGATCACAATAAAATAAATAACAAATAAATATACCACTGGGTTGCCATAGAAATTGGCCCTGAACTCTTCGGACAACTCGATCAACGCAACACCAGCCTTGTTAATGTTGCGGCTACTGACCAACCCCACGATCAGTAAAAGTACCGAGAGTGTTTTGATCATGATGAATTAATAACTTTGTATTATTAATTAATATATTTATGTCGGCTCGTTTATATACACTAAAGATCGTGATAAAACTATTTTAGAACAATGAAGTAGTTCAAATTTATAAATTGATAAAATCTAGCTATCAATTGTTTATTATATTTACAGTAAGGTTTAAGTTTATTGTTTGACGTCCCATACAATTAACATTGTTATGTTAAAACCTGTGGCGAGTTATATTGTTAAATTCATATATGCTTTTATATGTAAATTATTAAGTAAGAATACTAATAATAATACTGTGTTATCGTGTTTTTGTGGAAAAATACCAATATCATTAAATAAAGATCAATTAGGTTTAATAGTAGCAAGATTATTTAAACAATATTAATATTTATTTACTATTTAACTTTAATGATATTTTAATTTAATTTAAATTTTATGATCAAATAAAAATAAATAAAATAAAACATTTTTATATTAAAATTGTTAAAAAGAAAAAACAGGATTTCCAATAAAATTTAATTACATGAACAGTCCTATTGCTTAAAAAATAATATTTTATAATTAAAAGAAATAAATTCAAATGATATTATTTGAATAAATGTGAAGTTAATTGTAAATATAAATTACAATATTAAAAATTTAATTGATTATAATGCATAGTTATATAATTGTTTAAATTTTATATAATTTTAGATAAAACAATAATTTATGCATTATAGTTATGATTAATTAAATAAATGTAAATAAAAATTTTAAAATGTTAATAAAAATTACATAATAAATTTAAATGCATAATAAGCTATTGAATTAATTGATTCATAAAATAAAATAATAAATGTGGAATCAATAATTACAAAATTATTTGAAAGTGGTATCATGATTATCATAAATACCAGCCAACAAATCAGATACAGCATTCATTACTGATGAGTAAATTATCATTAGACTATCGGCAAAACCCCTAAGAAAGAGCGCCCTCTCGCGGGCCCGACGTGTGACGAGTGCGGGCACAACGCGTTCGCCCGCGCGAACCCATTTGCCAAACTCAGTGCCGGCCGCCGAGTACTCCCTGGCCTTCACGTACTTCAATAGGGTAGAGGACTCGAGGTTACCGCAGCCCACGTTGAATGCAAATGATACCAACTGTACATAGATTATATGTAATATTGTTTTGTTTTACTTTGTTATTACTACTAGATTAATGAATATAAATTATTCATTATTATTCATTATTTATTTTCATAGTTATCTAATTAGTTAGCCATTAATCATGCAATTATTGATATAATTAATTTTTCTATAGTAATCTTATAATAATTTTAATACAAATAATTAAAATATAAATAATTGATTAACTAAAGCGACTTACAGCGGCAAATTGGTTATCGTTGACAAATGGAACTTGATCATGGACACAGGTTTGAAATTGCACTAAATCCTGGAGCAATAGGTTAATGGCCTGAGTCTGGCTTATTGG